GGTATTCTTTAAGTCCTCTTTAAACACTAACCTTTCATTATTAACATACTCCTAAGTAACCATAATCTAACATCCTTTGAATAACTACCAGAATCAGAATCTAAGTGTCATTCTTTAAACTTTTTCTACTAGGAATCATAATAAACACATACTAACATTTCCAACTTTACTCTCACTCTAATACAATATTTTAGGATAAATACTAGCATTGTATTAATATTAAGGCTATAAAACATAAATGTAATACCTAATCAAGTAACCCTGTATGAATATACATACATCTAACAAGACATGCAATCATCATATGCTATTCTAAACAAGATCATGAGCTTAAAAAGAACTCACCTTACTTAAAATTCTGATTTCAAGGGATGGTTAATGAATGAGGGGGAATGAATTATGAGTTTTTAAAATCAGAGTTGAAATCATTTTATAAAAAATGTTTGAGCAAATAGCAGAAACTAATTACGTACTGCAACTAGTTTAATAGAGGGCATGCATGTGTTTTTTTTAATTTGTTGTTAGCAAATAGGAATTTACTGTTGTTTGTTACTAATTTTAATTTGATTTAGTTTTATTTTTGTTATATATTATGATTTATACTTGGCAATTACTAATATTTATAAAAGCTATATATTAACCTCTTTGTATATAGAAAGATTATTAAATGCAAGCTTAAAATTTATGTAATTCTTGTTTATTTTTTAAGTTGTGCTTGATAAATTTAAAAAGCTTAGTAATTTATTTCATTCATGTTTTCTTTTTTTTTCTTCCAATATGAAGCATGACGCTAATGTTGTGGCTCATTATTTAACTAAATTTACAATTTTAGTGTGGCTCATTATTTAACTAAATTTACAATTTCCATTATTTAGCTAAGTTCGCTCATTTATAATTGTTCCTTTAAGTCAACTCATCTATATGCTTAATGAAATGAGTCTTTTTTCTTTTTAAGTTCACATCCATGTTATATGTTGTTTTTCTTCAACAATAAAATAAAATATGTGTCTTATTTTGTATATTGGATAGTTTGCAACATTTGTTCTACTAATATGTTAAATATTTCATAGAAAAACTATCACCAAGGACCGCATAGCGCAGTGGATTAGCGCGTCTGACTTCGGATCAGAAGGTCGTGGGTTCGACTCCCACTGTGGTCGTTCCTTTTTGGTTTTTAACTTCATCATTTTTTTTGACAAAACGACACCGTTTACATCCACACCCTTACCTAAAGCTAGAGTTTCGCCTTCATCGTTCTTACTTGTTGTTGTAGAATAGAACAGAAACACATTTCATTTCTTCAACTCAAAATTCGAACCGAAAATGAGTTTAATGAAGAAACGTGAACCAAATTTCTTTTAAGCGTCGACTCTGTTTAGAAATTAGTGATCTATTCAACCCCATTCTAGATCATTGCCGTCGTCTAACACGTTATGAGTTATTTTTCTTCATGCTAGTGAAAAGGTATTTACAGAGGCTCGTGGGTCTGGAGTTAGGTTTTTCAGGAATGATAACCTCCCACTTAGTCTTAGTAGTAGATCATTGAATCTCTACTTCCTAGGAAGACTCAATTTAGTTAGTTGATTCTAGAGTCCCTCTGATCGAGACATGTATTTTCCCACAACGGGCGAGTAGGGAGAATTTTAAGGCGATGTTGACTTATTATTAGTGGTTGAAGGGTGTCGCACCTTATTGGAGGCCACACTCTCATCACCCTTGACGAGTCTTTATAAATATATCATTACAGTATTGATCCTAAGTTTGTCTATAATTATTTCAATACCCATATTGAATAGTCTAGAATATCAATATAAGGTATTATTATAACTGGTATTGGTACATCAAAATAATGTGCACAACATCAAGAATACATCCTAAGAAATCATTATATAAAGTACATCAAAGTAAATATACGCAATGGAATAATAGTAAATAAATAAAAGACCTTAAACATCCATTCATTAGCTTTTCAAGTCAACTTCGCCTTACCATTACTTGTCACTTGATCATCTGTAAGGAAAGAAAAAAACATGGGTTGTGATAAAAAATTCTCAGTGGAGTTCTTACTACATCCATAAGTTACGTCTGTGGCTAGCTACAACGCCCAAGGTTGCCAAGCTCATGAGTCTACTAAGACTCATAAAGGGTCCGTAGACTTGACTCATAAACTCGTACGAGTCTATGAAAAATTAAAACAAATTTCAAAAACGTGTATGTGACACATACATGATACACAAATATATTTTTAAACTTGTAAATACTTCATATATGATACAAAGATATATAATAAAACACTAATTAACATCAAAATTTAAATTTCATACTCCATAGTAAACTTCTTAACAAAAAAAATCAATAATGAAACAAACAAAATAGTAAAGTATATAATTAAAGACTTAAAGTACTAATTTCTTCTTTACATAAAGAAAAAAAATCATAAAACATATATGCTAATTACTTTAAACATCTAAAGTTCCAGTAAAATTATCACCGCCAATATCATCACCATCACCGTCATTGGTATCTTGAATATCATCATCAAACTCTACCCTAGATGAAACATCTTCTTCATTATTAACCAAAGGTGGATTGCTTAATAATATTCCATTTCCACCTAATTCAACATTGGCACCACCACCACTACCATTTTGCATAACATTTGTAACAACAACATTAACTTCCACAACAATGTCAACAATAACATCATCTTTCTCAATATTAACTTCGATTTGCATATTTTCTTCATTAATATCTTTAGTTATCCATTAATCATCTTTACGCAAGAGAGTATAGAAGAGAAACATCAAAGTGAAACATATAAGAAAATACTTACACAACGAATGATTGATTTTCAGGAACAAACACAAACAAAGCAAGAGACAAAATAAATGCACATGATTGATGAAGGGAGGAAGAAACTTTTTTGAAACAAAAGACTAGGAGATAGACTTTCTAATTCTCGTACAATAAACTTAGAATTTCTTATCCTTATATATCTTAGAGATACATAAGTTTTAAGAGAGTCTTATTGCGTTATATTCTTTATACACCTCTAATTATATATCAAGTGTATTCACCCAACAATCATTTATTTGCTTGGTAGATTGTTAGAAGTTTCTTACTAAGTGTTTGAGCAAGGAAGTATCAAACTTGTGTGTTTGACCAAGGAAGTCTCTAGCTTGTGTGCTAGAGCAAGGAAGTATCAAACTTGTGTGTTTAAGCAAAAGAAGTCTCTAGCTTGTATGCTGGAGCAAGGAAGTCTCTAACTTGTGTGCTAGAGCAAGGAAGTTTTTTTCTTGTGTGTTTGAGCAAAAGAAGTCTATTGCTTGTGTGCTTGAGAAAATTATAATCTTGTGTGATTATAGTGAAAATCTCTTGTAGTACAAGGGGACTGGATTACTCTCGATTTGTGAGAGAAACTGAGATAACTCTCTCTGTCATTCTTCTTTCTTGCTTATTGTATTCACTGCATATATCTAACTGAATCAAATTCTGTAGCATTGTGTTTAAAATCTGACTTAAGAGTTTCTAAAAAGAAAGGAAAATCAAATTTTCAACCCCCTTCTTGTGTTTTTCCCACCTTCAAGATTAACCGTATAGTCATTATACATGTTTTCTCAAGGTATAGATAAATCAGGATTCACTACTTAAGACATACTTAAATGTTACTCTCACTACGTAGGATATTTTTTAAGTCCTCTTTAAACACTAACCTTTCATTATTAACATACTCATAAGTAACCATAATCTAACATCTTTTGAATAACTACCCGAATCCAAATTCGGGTGTCATTCTTTAGACTTTTCCTACTAAGTTCTAGGAATTATAATAAATACATACTAACATTTCTGACTTTACTCTCACTCACATACAACATTTTAGGATAAATACTAACATTGTATTAGTATTAGGGCTAAAAAAAACATAAATGTAATACCTAATCAAGTAACCCTGCATGAATATACATACATCTAACAAGACATGCAATCAACATAGGCTATTTTAAGCAAGATCATGAGCTTAAAAAGAACTCACCTTGCTTAAAAGTATGATTTTAAGGGATGGTTAATGAATGAGGGAGAATGAATTATGAGTTTTCAAAATCAAAATCAAAGTTTAAATTATTTTATAAAAAATGTTTGAGCAAATAACATAGACTAATTACGTACTCTAACTAGTTTAATGAAGGACATGCATGCGTTTTTTCTTTTTTATTTTATTTGTTGTTAGCAAATAGGAGTTTATTGTTGTTAGTTTTAATAAACTTTGTTGCTAGTTTTAATTTGATTTAATTTTGTTTTTGTTATATATTATGATTTATACTTCACAATTACTAATATTTATAAACGCTATATATTAACCTCTTTGTATTTAGAAAGATTATTAAATGCAAGATTAAATTTTGTGGAATTCTTGTTTATTTTTTAAGTTGTGCTTGACAAATTTAAAATGTTTAATAATTTATTTCATTCATGTTTTTTTTTTTCCAATGTGAAACATGACACTAATATTGTGGCTCATTATTTAACTAAATTTACAATTTCTATTATTTAGCTAAATTCACTCATTTATAATTGCTCCTCTTAAGTCAACTCATTTATATGCTTAATAAAATAAGTCTTTTTTCTTTTTAAGTTGACATCCATGCTATATGTTGTTTTTCTTCAACAATAAAATAAAATATGCGTCTTATTTTGTATATGGGGTAGTTTGCAACATTTGTTCTATTATACGTTATAGTTTTCAGAGAAAAAGTTGTCACCAAGGACCGCATAGCGCAGTGGATTAGCGCGTCTGACTTCGGATCAGAAGGTCGTGGGTTCGACTCCCACTGTGGTCGTTTCTTTTTTGTTTTTAACTTCATCATCTCTTTTGACAAAACGACACCGTTTATATCCACACCCTTACCTAAAGCTAGGGTTTCACCTTCATCGTTCTTACTTGTTGCAGAGTAGAACAGAAACACATTTCATTCTTCAACTCAAAATTCGAATCGAAAATGAGTTCACTGAAGAAACGTGAACCGAATGTCGCAACCAACAACAGGGAAGCCGAAGATCAATTGATCGTGACACCATTAGGTGCCGGCAATGAAGTTGGTCGTTCTTGCGTCTACATGACCTACAAAGGCAAAACCGTTTTATTCGATTGCGGTATTCATCCAGCTTACTCCGGCATGGCGGCGCTGCCGTATTTCGACGAAATTGATCCTTCAACTGTCGACGTACTTCTCATCACTCATTTTCACTTGGATCATGCCGCTTCGCTGCCTTATTTTCTCGAGAAAACTACGTTCAAAGGTCGGGTTTTTATGACGTACGCGACGAAGGCAATTTATAAGCTTTTGTTGTCTGATTATGTTAAAGTCAGTAAAGTTTCTATTGAAGATATGCTTTTTGATGAACAGGATATTAATCGGTCCATGGATAAAATTGAGGTCTGTATTTCTTTCAGACTTGTGATTTGATTTATCATAATTCAATTGATTGAGTTTAGGGTTTTATTGTGTGTTTTTAGCCTTGAATTTTGAATGTGTTTGTTGATAGTACTAGTAATTGGAGACTGTGGGTTATTCATTTCAATTTCATTAGATATAGGGTTTTACTTTTCTTTGGAGATATGTAGCTATGTTTGGATTGATGGACTAGAACGAAGCAGAATGAAACATGATGAAATGGAGTGGAGCGGAGCGGAATGGAACATGATCAAATGGAGTGGAGCGGAATGGAACAAAGATTCAATTCCATTGTTTGGAATGGGTTCCATCATATTCCATTACGCCCCATCTATTATTTGAAAATCCAAACACTGGAATCTGATTATTGAATGTATTTGTTAATAGTAGTAGCAATTGGGGACTGTGGGTTATTCATTTCAATTTCATTAGATTTAGGGTTTTATTTTTCTTTGGAGACATGTAGTTACAATAATGTGTATGTTTTTAGCTTCAAAGCTTAAATTTATATGTTAAACAGTAATTTTAATTGGTGGTTGCAGGTTATTGATTTCCATCAAACTCTTGGGAGTGAATAGTATTAGATTTAGGGTTTTATTTTTCCTTGGAGGCATGCAATTACAATAATGTGTATGTTTGTAGCTTCAACATTTCAATCTATATGTTAAACAGTACTTTTAATTGATGGTTGCAGGTTATTGATTTCCATCAAACGCTTGAAGTGAACGGTATTAGATTCTGGTGTTACACTGCAGGCCATGTCCTTGGTGCTGCTATGTTTATGGTTGACATTGCTGGTGTTCGAGTGCTGTATACAGGAGACTATTCACGTGAGGAAGATCGACATCTTCGAGCTGCAGAAACCCCACAGTTTTCCCCTGATGTCTGCATTATAGAATCAACCTATGGTGTACAACACCATCAGCCTCGGCACACACGAGAAAAGCGGTTCACTGATGTTATTCATTCGACCATTTCTCAAGGGGGTCGTGTGTTGATTCCAGCTTTTGCTCTTGGTCGTGCGCAAGAGCTACTGTTGATCCTTGATGAGTATTGGCAAAATCATCCGGAACTCCAGAATATACCTATCTATTATGCTTCTCCTCTTGCCAAAAAATGTTTGACTGTTTATGAGACTTACACCCTCTCAATGAATGATAGGATTCAGAATGCAAAGTCTAATCCATTTTCCTTTAAGCACATATCAGCATTGAGCAGCATTGATGTTTTCAAAGACGTGGGACCGTCTGTGGTGATGGCGAGCCCCGGTGGACTTCAGAGTGGGTTGTCACGGCAATTATTTGATATGTGGTGCTCTGACAAGAAAAACTCTTGTGTTATACCTGGGTATGTTGTTGAGGGGACACTAGCAAAAACTATCATTAATGAACCTAAGGAGGTTACTCTCATGAATGGACTCTCTGCACCTCTCAACATGCAGGTTCACTACATTTCCTTTTCTGCCCATGCTGACTCTGCTCAAACAAGTGCTTTCTTGGAAGAGCTCAACCCGCCTAACATAATTCTTGTTCATGGGGAAGCTAATGAGATGGGGAGGCTCAAACAGAAACTCGTGACTCAGTTTTCTGATCGTAACACTAAGATCCTCACTCCCAAAAACTGTCAGTCTGTTGAAATGTATTTCAATTCACAGAAAATGGCAAAAACCATTGGGAAGCTGGCTGAAAAAACACCACAGTTGGGTGAAACCGTCAGTGGTTTGCTAGTTAAAAAAGGCTTCACATATCAAATAATGGCACCCGATGATCTCCATGTCTTCTCGCAGCTATCAACGGCAAATGTTACTCAGAGAATTACCATCCCTTATCCAGGTGCCTTTAGTGTCATACAACATAGACTGAGACAAATATATGAGAGTGTTGAGCCGTCAGTGGATGAAGAATCTGGTGTTCCAACGTTGCTAGTTCATGAGCGTGTGACAGTGAAGCATGAGTCTGAGAAGCATGTCTCCTTGCATTGGACAGCAGACCCCATTAGTGATATGGTATCAGATTCAGTTGTTGCTCTAGTTTTAAATATTAACCGTGATCTTCCAAAAATAATAGCTGAATCAGATGCTACAAAAATTGAGGAAGCAAATGAGAAGAAGATAGAGAAGGTTATGCATGCCCTCCTCAAGTCACTCTTTGGAGATGTGAAGGTTGGAGAAAATGGGAAGTTGATAATTAACATTGATGGCAACGTGGCAGAACTCGACAAAGAAAGTGGTGAAGTTGAGAGTCAAAATGAAGCCCTTAAAGAAAGAGTAAGAACAACGTTCAAGCGAATTCAAAGTTCTGTCAAGCCGATTCCTCTTTCACAAATCCAAAGTTCTGTGAAGCTGGTTCCTCTTTCACCGCCATAGTTCTTTGTTCTCCCTATACTGTCCTAGGACGATGAAATGCGAGTTGTGACATTATAACCACTAAGGATTCCTAGTTCTCATGCTCCACTAACATGTAGTAAGACATTTATCATAAAATGTATTTATTGGCATGTAACATAAACTTCGGCACAACAATTTTTACTCCAATGTTACTTCATTGGCATTAACCCCCAATGTCCTTTTGTATCATTACTTTTTAGCATTCAGTTTCTTTTAATTTAGATATGATTAAATTTTGGCAGATGCAGATATATCGTTTGTTATCATATCTAGTTTTGGCATACTTTTGGGTGAGCCTTTGTGAAGTCTCCCTCACGGTTTGTGCAGTAGTTTTGTTCATGTAGAAACTTCTTGTCTAATTTGGGGATTGCTTCTCCAAGTCACAAGGTCACAAACATGAAGAACCATTCTACGAGAGTGCACTCTATTAAATTTAAGAAACGCTGCCCCTGTATTCATAAATGCATTTTTAGACTTATCCATTTCACAACAAATGTATGTGTAAATGATCACTTTTTTTTTTCTTTCTTTAAATTGATTTAGAGATGCAGAAAAATGTATGTGTAAACTTTTTTTTGTTTGTTTTAAATTGATTTAGAGATGCATTTCTGATTTCTGTTTTTTGCAGTAATCCTATGTGCATCCCATGCACTACTAGTGACACATTCAATTTGCTTTAAATTGATCACACATTCAATTTGCTTTAAATTGATCACACATTCAATTTGCTTTAAATTGATCTAGAAATATATTTACATATATGTTTTCTGCAGTAATCTTATGTGCATCCCATGCACTACATTCAATTTGCTTTAAATTGATTAGAGATACATTTATATATCTGGTTATGGAGATGCTCTTCAGAAAATTTTTGCCGAAAAATTTTGATTTTTTATTTTTATAAAATACACCGACGTAATAGACCTTATATTAGAACTATAGTTTCGTACTAATTTTTTTATGAATTAAATTATACACAAGATAAAAATACCATATATAAATAAATCAACTCATAATATAATCACAGTAAGAAAGTATTACACTCTACAACTACTGCTGAATTCTATGATTCTCTTGAGTTTTTAAGGAACAATTTTAAGGTGTACATGATGAATTCTCTTGAGTTTTTAAGGAACAATTTTAAGGTGTACATGATGAAAGAGAAATCCTCTATTGACTTTCTAAGGAACAATTAAGGGATGTAATGTAATTTTAAAGTAATTATTTATTTATTTTTATAAAAGAAATTTACTTTTTTCATTTTTCTTTTCTAAATTGTGCCGTGATAGTAAATTGGGATCTAGATAACGGGCCTCATAACACCAAAGGCCCAATAAGAACCAATTAGGTTTTAAGCTACGATATATATATATAAAAACTGAATTAGGGTTTTCTGTCTCAGAAAGAGAAGAAGAAGCAGATTCCGAACCAGAGGCGTAGGGAGCGAAAATGGTCAAGTTTTTGAAACCTAACAAGGCGGTGATTCTCTTGCAAGGCCGTTATGCTGGCAAGAAAGCCGTGATTGTGAAAAACTTCGACGACGGCACCCGTGAGAAGCCTTACGGACACTGTCTCGTTGCCGGGATCAAGAAGTACCCTAGCAAAGTGATCAAGAAGGACTCAGCGAAGAAGACGGCGAAGAAGTCTAGGGTTAAGGCATTCGTGAAGCTTGTGAATTATCAACATCTGATGCCTACTCGTTATACTCTGGACGTGGATCTGAAGGATGCTGTTGTTCCTGATGTTCTTCAATCGAAGGATAAGAAGGTGACTGCATTGAAAGAGACTAAGAAGAGGCTTGAAGAGAGGTTCAAAACAGGGAAGAACAGGTGGTTTTTCACCAAGCTTAGGTTTTGAATATTTACTGTTTTGTTTCTAGTTATACATTTTGGCATTTGATTATTATGAATCAATTATGAATGAACTTGTGGTTTAGTTTTGATTATGCAGGAGATTTTGTGATTTTGATGGTAACTAAAATGAAGGGATTATTATATGCATCTTTGATCTATCTCATATATTATCTGGTTTACATTGGTTGTTTGCATTTGAAATAATCTAATTGGTTAGAGTATTAGTTGCTCTTTACCATAAATTCTTCTCATGTGTTGCTCAGAGTCACTATTAGTTTTGCCATAAATTCTTGCTTCTGTGTTGCTTGGAGTCGCTATCTGTTTCTCCACTTAACTTTTACCCTGTGCCAAGCTTCCTTTGGTCTGATCTCTTTTACCGAAAATGTTGGACATTTTTTAACAACGCAGAATTCCCAGTTTACTTCCTCCGGCCAAACAATGTAATTCCATTTATCAATAAAGGTTTTCAAAAATATTCTCAATAATCTTACCATCACTCATGTCTTCCCTATAATTTATCATATTTTTACTTCATATTCTATTTCTTCATATTTTTACTTCTATGAATATGAAGTTTCTTTCTTTGCTACAGCTCATAAAAATCGTTGTTTCGAACGATATATATGTAGAAAGCCTATTTTTTTTGTCAGTATTTATGACTATTAGTGGAGGTTCTTTTCTTTTTTCTTTCTATAATGGAGATAGTCGCACGTAATGACAGATCACGGCCATATTGTTAAAAGCTTGAGGTAAGAAAGGGTTTCGTTCGAGTGCCCGAAAATAGTATTCCAAAGCTTTTGTATGTTCTCCGTTACTTGTGTGGATAAGGCCGATGTTATAAAGTATATAACTTCGATCATAGGGATCAATTTCCAGTCGCATCGCCTCATAATAATTCTGTGTTTGCAATTGTCATTACTCGACTAAAGTAGTCAGTGATCAATTCATTTTGCTTCATTGTTTAAACCTCAATTCTTTTGTGGATGGTTGAGTTGAGCTCTCTTCACTCAAGAATTGCATTGAAACTTCATCTTCATGGAGTCCCAAATCTATTTAGATGTCATGTCTCCTTGTCTTTAGAATTAACTTTTCAAAAGATTGAACTCAAAATTTAGATTTAAGTTATGCAACCAAATCAAATATATTAGACCTAAACTTATTAATAACCAATATATTTAGTAGTTAAAAGGTGTTTTAGTTTTTTATTACCATTTTTTTATAAGAATTTATTACCAAAAATATAGTACAATCGAGTACCTCTTAATCAAGCAATTCAAGGGGATGTAAACCAATCAGAAAAATTAATAACAAAGCTACTATTGTTACCCATACCAGGCCAGTTCCAAGGAAAAAAAATTTAATAGATAACTGTACATCTTCTATGTTGTAAATTGTATCTTAAAACAAAGTATTATTTCTTCCATTCAAATGCTTCAACAAGTGGCTAATCTAAGTGAGCCTGCCATGCTAAAATTGAAAGCTTTCTTCAATAGATTAAGCCTGCCATTCTAAATTTGAAAGCTTTCTTCAAAACCCTTAGTGTCTATTAAAGTGAAATGATAAAATCTACTAAATTTCCTTCCTTTCTTAATAAATGATTTAGTTGATTTTTTCATACAATATAACAGAAAGGAAAAAATGAAGGAAATAGAATAAAGTAAAGTTTCATTGTTATGTTTTGCGAATTGATAAAATTAATATTAATTTGAGGATAAAATTAAAAAAGATGTTGGAAATTGAAATAAATAATTTATTTTAAAATATTAAATTATTTTAAATGGATCACTTATTCTAGAATGTAGGTAATAGATTAAATGAAATGATAAAATCTACTAAAATCTAATTAGTTCATTTTATACAATTTCACTGTAAACTAAAACATATTAAAAAAGAACTAAATCGAGATAACATGAGGGTAATCAAAATCCTATTGACTTGCTTACAATTTTACTCGGCGGTGGATCTAGTGCTCGTGCATTTGCTTATAAATTGTATTCTAACATAGTATGATGTTCTAATTATCAGGTTCTTCTTACATAGCTTTGACACATTATAATTAAAATAAGTAACGATTTAGATTAAAAGTTAAATTAATCAGTTTATTTTAGTTATAAAAAAAACAAAAGAAATATTTTTCAAAATTTTTTACTCAAATAACCAACTTTTTAAATTTTTTTAAAAAATACTCCTCTTTTCAAATTTTCTTCTTCAAAGTATCCCAATTAGAGTTTCTGAATGCACGTGGGAGACATACCAATTGGAGACCCTTTGTTAAGATTTTAAGGGAGTCGTCAATTGGATTAGAGACACCTCACGCAGTCTCCGATTTAATTGACAACTTGGTAGTATACTTAAAGCCCTGCCACCAATTCGTCTAGAGACATGGTGCATTTTGTAAATTTTTTACCAAAAATAAATAACATTATCATTAATTAAATAAACTATTACATAAGTTAATGTTGGCGACCTGGTGGGTCATACCGGCCACCGGTTCCACATCCCCTAACCTTCACTCGTTGTACTTGTTCCCATTGTTGTTGATTCCTGCTAGGTGTTTGAGTAATTGAAGTCTCAGAAACATTCTCAGATGGTTCCTTAGAATTTCTTGAATTTCCATGAGGTCTTGTGTGTTGAAATTGAGCGTGCGACCCATGCTAGAGTAGTTCAGATGTGATGAAGGGGTCATTGTTGTGCGACTTGGACGATTGAAGGGGAACATTAGTGTGAAGGATTCGTTGGTGAAAGGTTGAAATAGTAGTGTGTAGGTTAGGGTATGATGTCAGAGCGTTTTGGCTATGGAAAGATGTTTGGGCGTTATGACTATGATATGATGTACCCTTATTTTGACTATATCTTGATGTTGTGTTGGGGGCATATCCATATTGGGTTTCTTGATAGTAATAATTTTGTTGGAGATGGTACGGGGGACGCTTTTGGTATTGTGGTTGGGTGTTTGACATGTTTGGATGGTGGATGGGTTGGTAATTTTATTGGGTAGGGGGTTGTGAGAAACATGGCCTTTCTGGTGGGTTAGACATTGAAGCTTATTGTGTGTAGGTGGTTTGGCGTGGGTCATATAAATACCTGTCTTCGAAGACAAACTCAGTTGCAATCGATCTGTATCAAGCCATATAATTATTAGTTGGTATAGACGGGGTTGCCATCACCGGGTCACGTAAGACATGGACGCTGCGATTCATCCATTTACAACGCTCAAATTTTGCAAAATCCTTCAAGTTGAGAAAGTTTCATTGATCATTAACTCTTTTTAGATGCCATTTACTGATGTCAACAGGAGAATCTGAGATGTTTTAATGCATTCTAAATTGTAGTTTGACATAGTAACTGTTGTGCATCTCCACAGTTGTGAATCTGATGATCGGGACGCATGCAATCCAAACGAAAATATTTTCCTCTCTGAATTCATGTAGGTGTTCCATGTTTAGATATGAACGCCATATGAACTGAAGAAGAGAAAAATATTATATCATAAAATAGTTGATATAAAATATAAATTAATTTGTTTAAAGGCCTTACATATGCAGGTATTTGGTGATCCAACATATTGCGATATTAAATGATACAATGTTTAAGACATCTATTGTAACTCATACCCTTAGCCGACCATCTAAACAACAAGAAGTTCAAATTCAATTAGTTAGACACAATAATTGGTAAGGTGAAATAAACTAATATTAAGTTATTAACTTACTTTTGTGCATACAGGAAGGAAAAGCTGTTGTGGTTGATTAGCGTTAGGGATGACAATTTAGACCAACCCCATGCTTGGAGCAAAATGGAAAATCCAAAAAAAGTAGATGTGTTTTTTTAGGGCACTTACACAAAGAGCTATACAAATAAGATAGACAAGTGAAACCTCAACTATACTCTTTTGTTTTATCTAGCTCTCTCAATAAGGGTAAATACATAATGTGCATAGAAGAACCAGTGCCTTCGGGAAATAAAAATAAACTAATTAAAAGAATAAGATAACACTTGGTTTTCATTATTTTTATTTCTTCGGTAGAATCTTCATCTAATATAAAACCGGTGTACCATGATTCTAGGCGCGAAAGTAAGATACCTTGGCCTCTTGAGTTCTCATCTAACAAGTCGACACCCAAAAGCTCCTCACAAATTGATGATTCAAGGTTTGTTGGTCCATTGACCGCCTTACCATCAATATGCAAACTGAGTAACATATACACATCCTCTAAGATCACAGTACATTCACCAGTTGGAAAAAAGAAGGTGTGTGTCTCTGGGAACCATCTATCTTGCAAAGCTAGTATAAGCTTTGCATCAACTGAGTAAGACATGATTTTGCTTACATGTCCGAAACCAGCGAGCTTAATATATGCTTTAATTAGTTTGTCGAGTGCAACGTATTCATGGGAACGAGGGCGAAACCAAAAAAGACAATAAAAATTAATAAAGACATTAAAAATTAACAGTTACATAATTTGTGATATTTGTGACAGTGCCTCTATGTGTTTCACCCATTGTCAACAAAGCCATCATAACTGATTAAATGTGAATCAGATAACTGGTACTACTTACATTCTAGACTTGACATTACCCCTCTGCAACTAGTATGAATCAGATGATGTATTTACCCATACATCTAGCTTCCTTATATAGTGAATTATGAGTCACATGTGAGAATAATACATTGTACTATGTCGCCATATGAATTGGCGACTGCACTCACCCATTACAAAGGGTCGCCAGTCCAATTGGAGACACCTGATAGCCTGTAACATAGCTGTGCACGTAGCTGATCTTGCTTCATGCATGCATATCATGCTGATACCCACATGGAGACATAGTGTGCTCAGACTGCACATTGTCTCCATGTGAGTTGGCGACTCCATTTAATGCTTTTGACCATGTCTCCAATTCATGTGGTAAATCTATTACGTGTTCCATGCATATTAATATGTTCCCATGCATGCAGACATGTATAGAAACCAAAACAAGCAAAATTAGTAAGTCTCTAACAAG